ACAATTGCATAAGTTGACCATACTTGCAGTTCGGTTCTTGTCTGCCATTCTATGTGAGTAGTTTCCCCCTTTTTAATCTGAAATTTGATCTGAAGTTTCTTCTCAATCTGTTTCTTCACCTATTGTTACAGATTTAGACCCTCAATTTAGACCTTCATTTGATAATGTGAGTCTAAAAGAGAATGAAATCAAATTAATCTGATTTCATTCTCACATTAATCTGATTTCATTTGACTTTCGTAATAAGTATTTTAAGTATTTTGATTTCATTCTCACATTAATCTGATGTCGGCTGAGTTTATAATATAGATAGCATATTCTTTTAAACAAATAGGAAAATGGTTTTAAAATCTAATAAGCACCTTAATTAAGTTATAAGTATTTTAACTTATAAGCACATTAATCAGACCTTCATTCTCGTAAGCACGTTAATCAGACCTTCATTTGACTTTCGTAATAAGTATTTTAACTGTTTTGATTTCATTCTCACATTAATCTGATGTCGGCTGAGTTTATAATATAGATTGCATATTCTTTTAAAAAAATAGGAAAATGGTTTTAAAATCTAATAAGCACCTTAATTAAGTTATAAGTACTATTCCAACGAATAGACAAATCTTTAGGAAAAACACAATATTTGACATGTCTTTCTTTCAAAAAATATCTCCATTGCATCTTAAGTTGATTAGTAGCCCAAATAAGTTTAATCCCCCCTCTCACCACCTCCAAAGCATCTCCCAACGCCGCTAGCCCACCCTTTACACATAAATTTAAAATATGACATGCACAACGCTGATGAAAAACCCTACCCATCAAAGAAGATGAACCACAAAATTCACGCAATCTAGGAATAGCAGCAGTATTATTAGTAGCATTATCAAAACCAATAACAAACACCTTATTAATCAAATTATACTCAATTAAAATACGCTCAATGAGAATATAAATATTATCACCGGTGTGTCGATCATTAAATTCACGAAAAGCAAGAACACGTTTATGCATACACCAATCATCATCAATATAATGTGCAGTCACACCCAAATAATATAAACGATGATGAGTATCCTCCCATATATCACTACATATACTAACGCGTCCATCAAAATTTGCGAAAAACGTTTGTGAATTTTGCTTTTCCAAAACATATTGCTTTATGACTTCTTTTTTAATTGTTTTGCGACTATAGTTTCGAAATTGAGGATTTAAAGTACCTTGAGCATATTCTTTTAAAGCAAGACTTTTGAAAAAAATAAATGACAAATTTTCTTCAACAATTAAATGAGACATACCGGTCAAATGTTTTTTATCATCATAAGAAAAATTACCGAAGGGTTGGCCAGTTGCAAACCTTGAAATTTGTGTTTGCTTTCCCTTGCCTTTGTCTGATTTCGCATATTCCGCCGGGTGCTTGGCCTTAAGATGCCTTGTGGCGCTCCCTTACCCTCCAGAAATTACCAAGTTATACTTTTTTTTGCAATGCTTGCAAGTGGCGTACCATATCTCGGTTTCGAGGTCTTTAACTTTTGTAAAATTAGCCTTAAAGACATATTCAGCTTTCTCACCGCCTTGGGAAGAAGTAGCCACTTCCGCTTGCTCTTCCTCATCGTCCGGTGCCCGAACTGCCCTACTCAATCGGGCCGGTTCAAAGCCCGGACCGCCCAACACATACCCGAGTCGGGCCGGGCCCACACAGTGGCGGGCCGGGCCGGACCGGGCCGGTTCGGTCCATCCCTACGTGTGACTGTCAATGGTATCATTTAGTCCCATCACATGACATAAATTTCAGCATGAATATTGTTATATCTCGATCGTCGAAGCAATGATATTACTTTGTCACATGACATGAATTGCAATATGAATATCGATATAGCTAGTCGTTGCTTGGAAGCAATCCTTCATCCCTCTGTTTGGGGATAATGTCATATGCAAGGGCATGTTTGAGGTCGATGTGGTGTGAAGAAGAGAAGATAAAGTGCTAGATTACGTTTTGGGACGTTGAATGTTGGCTCTCTTACTAGAAGATCATCTGAGGCAGTTAGAGGCTATGGATGGACCGGGCCCGGACTGGGCCGAGTCCGGTCTGCACAGTATTGGGCCGGGTCCCGGTTCGAGCCGACTCGTCCCAGTTCATGGTTATTCGAGGTTATGAAGAGAAAGAATTTCAGCATAATGTGCGTGCAAGAAATTAAGTGGTAGTAGAAAAAACATATGAGATTAATCCCAATGGTTTTAAGTTGTGGTATTTGGGAAAAGAGGAATATAAATGGAGTGGGCATATTGTGGCACGTGATTAGGGATGGACTCGGGCCGGGTAACCGGCCCGACCCGGTACTGTTATGGCCCGGCCCAGCCCGGTACCCGGGTTATTGGCCGATTTGGGCCAACTGGTCCGACACTGTAGAGGGGCGGTTCGCGGGCCTCCATAATGGTGAACCGGCCCGGCCGGTTCGGTTCTGGTCCGGGCCAATTTTTTTTTGGTTTTTCAAATTCTTATATAGGTAAAATGGGTTGGGTTGGGTGTTTTGGAGGGGTTTAGGGTGTGGGGGGGGGGGGAAGAAGGAATTAGAAAATGAAAAAAAATTACTCGGTTCGAACCGGCCCGACCCGGTCTATACCTGACCCGCTACCCGGCTAGGTAACCCGGCCCGAACCAGACCCGGTAGGTACCCGAGCCGGTTTCGGGCCTCACTTCTCCAAAAAAAGCCCGGTCGGAAGCAGATCGAGGCCCGACCTGGCCCGAACCGAGTCCATGCCTACACGTGATCGTGTTGAGGGTGTGGTAGAAGTCTTTAAGAAGAACGATCACATCATGAATATAAAACTGGTAATAGGAGATGAGACCATGTTTGTGGTAATTGCCTACGTACCACAAGTGAGATCATGCATCTATCACTCAATAATTTTGGGAAGAGTGGTGCATGTAATCTTGAGAAAGTGGTGGGATGAGTGCCAAGAGGAGAGAAAATGGTCATAGAAGGTGACCTCTACAGGCATGTAGGTCCAAGTCATGATGTTTTGAGAGTACTCATGGCGGGCATAGTTTTGACTATAAATGAAACAGGGAAGAACATTCTTGATTTTGCCTCGACATATGAGTTGGCTGTAATGAACACTTGGTTCAAGAAAAGAGACTCTCACTTTGTGACCTATACAAGTAGAGCTAATAGTACCAAAATTGACTACTTTTTAGTATGGATTACTCGGAGAATAAGTTACGCACATTGATAGTAAGGTTATCCGAGGTGAGAGTGATGTCATTCAACATTAGATGCTTGTGTTTGATTTTCAAGGTAAGAAGAAAATGTGAGTTAAGGTACAAGTGGAGCCAAAGATATAATGGTGGAGGCTCATGGGAAATCTACAACAATGTTTTGCACACAAAATATTGGAGAAAGATGTAAGGTATATTTGTAACACCGTCCCTGATGGAGTATATGGCGGCCTGTGCAACCAAATCCTTGGGGAGCCGCAGCCCCTCATGGTCTGATATTCTACAGAGCAGCAGAGATGCACTCGAAACCCAACGACCCGGCTACTAATTCAGGTCTCAGTGTACTCGAGTGGCGACGATCGACATTTCAAACATGAGGGGTAGCGGGCGATGAGAAGAAAGAAGAAGCAAAAGAAGAATAAGAAAGAGGAGGCAGAGGGAGGAGAACAAACAACTGATGCTTGTCGGACTCAATCAGAGAAGGAGAAGAGGAAAAGCATCCTCATCATCACCATTGGTGGAGTCACCTTTGCCACTGCTGGAGTAGCCATCGACCGTCGCCAGTCAAGTGATGGAAGCGTTTCGATGAACAAGAAAGGCCGCGAACTTGCTCACTAAGAATGTTGATGGACGTTTTAACATTTTAGGGGATTTAATTAATAGATATTTGGGACTTTCATCTCTTTTTAGTAACTATTTCTCGTAATTCAAATTTGATCCTAATTTTGTCTGATAAAAAATCGGAAGTCTTATTTTGTCATTTTTCCTAAAACCTAATAGTAGCATACCAGCAGCATGACATTTAAATCAGAAAAAGTCATCCTGTTATTGTGGTATTTAAAACTAAAAATGTTAAAAATTGACTCAATTTTTAGCAATAATTATAATACTCTAGGGTTGCAGAAATGCAGACTACATAGTATTATTTCATCATCACCATCATCACACCAATTCCGCAAAAGCTCCCACCCATGGTGGGGTAAGGGGAGGGGTCGGTACACGGTCTTATCTCTGTACTAAAGCACATGGAGACTGTTACCGAATGACCCATAGTGAAAATCACATTCAAAATTACTGATTGCTGTTTCATAACAAACAAACGACACGGCTTAGTAAGCTGCTTTATTTATTGAAGCAAAATTAATGAAAGGCAGACAACATAGTATTGGTACAATAGAAACCGAAAGTGATGGAGCCTCAATAAGTTCCACGCTAAAATGCTAGGCAACTGTTCCTCCCTCTGATTGCAGTTTTGGCATATATTGGAGTATTGGACAACACACCCATAACCTCTCTACACTGCATTTTGTAAACAACGAAACCTAAAAAGAAAAACAAATAAGTGACACGTGCTAGATAATAATTCAAGGGTTCAATATTGTCTTTATTTATAAGGAAGGGTGAAAGAAGCCCTTTTTTCATTTACACACTACACAATGTATATCACTATCTTGTGTAAAAGAACGATATATTTAATTAAGGAATGATTAATTAAATAATTTATCGGGTCCATAATATTAAGAATGAACTACCAAATAATTAGTCGGGTCATCGTTATAATTATAGAAGCCCAATAAAATGTCAACTAAGGTTGAGGAAAGCGTTTGGACAAACAATTGCTATTTTGACCCAACCTGCCAGAAATAGCAGGAATAATTGAGAGGGATTTCCTACACCCACTTGGGGTATATTTTTAGTCAAATAGCTCCCAAATAATAAGGAGGAGACATGAAAAATAAGTTAGGTGCGGACTTGAGGGTGATGAGATGTTAAGGACAAACACCCACACCTCCTATACCCCATCTATGCATTATTTTTGCATTTGATTAAGGGCCGATACTTCATCTTCTATTGTGAAAGAGAGAAAGCTCTGGGGTTGACTTTCACAAAAATCAATCCATAGTTGGAGGAAGCTAGGAGGAAGAAAACCTAAGAGGAACTAAGCTAGAAGAAAGGTAAGAATTCAAATAGTTCTTTAACTAGTTTATTCTTGTATGATTTTTTAAGAAATCATATGGTGGATTAAACCATGAGTTCTACACGTTTAAAAGTGTAGAAAAATGTTATAAAGTGTTGGTATTTAACTTAGAAGAATCGTGGAATCGATAGGAGTTGAAATCGCCGGAAACCGCCAAGAAAACAGGCTGCCTGCTACTGCTGTCCAGGTTTTTCACGAAAGCCGCTCGGCTTTCACTTGCTGTCCAGGTTTTTCACTTTCGAACGGCCTAGAACGAGGACGGGTCGAAGGGCTTCGCAAGGGCAACTAGTCAAGCACTCTATAAGGTGAGGATGACTGACTATATTGCTTATAATTAGTGAGTTAACTTCATTAGATTACCTAAGGTAATTAAATGTGTTTTTATGGATTATTAATGTTTAATAATGCCTAAGATTGAGAAGACTATGGTCTATAAGGAAAAGGAGCATGATATACAAATTTAAGAGTAAATTGTGTATGATCATGTTTTATGAATATAAAAATGGAATTAACTATGAACTTATGTTGAAATATGCTTTTTACTTCATATAAGAATATATGAGTGATTAAAAGTGATATTTTGTATATTGATATAAATGATATTTTCAATGGAAAATCAGTTTGGATTTGTCTATATGACTATGAGTTGAGAACTTGGATTGATAGAATTTATCTGACTAGTATTAAGATACTAGTCGGGGAATGGGATAAATAATTATGCTAGAATTGATCCTAAGGTTGGATTGTAAATTGTTAAACCTTAAATAGTCTTAAGAGATTCTTTAAGGTGGATAAGTATGAACTTTATGTTATATACTAGGGGTAGGCCTTAAGGGATGCCCAAGATTAAGTGAATAATAAACTGATCCTAGGTACAGGATTGGCCTACGGGTGTGTTCGGTAGTCCTTGAGGATAGCCGATTGAATTATGGGAGTAAGTAAGGACCATGACCCTTCCCGACTCTAGAGAGCGGGGTTGGATAGCATGGACTTGCATCGTGATCACGGGTTAGGGTGGAATCCGAATCGGAGACCTAACTAGGCTTCGGTAGCGGTAACACATAGGATAGGACCCCGAACGGCCCTACCTTCCTACGGGATGATAGGTATGAGTCCAGGGGAAGGATGTTGAAATCCGAACCGAGAGCCTCATGAGGGCTCCGACAACGGTAGCAAATACCATAGAAATAATAAGACCCACGGATTGGGTTGTGCAAATGATAAATGCAAGGAAATATATAAGAAGGGCCGTGTGCCGACAAATAAATGAATTTACTTATTATAGAGATAATAAGTGTGAAATATAAATTAATATTTATATTGTCATATCACCCTATTTTGAAGGTCTTAGAAATTAAAACGCTGATTATACTCGGTATAGTTGTCATTGTACTTGTCAAATACTTCCAAGTACTGACCTCCCCTTCATAGGGGAGGTCACCTCACAGTTTCAGGTAGAACTTGAAGGTTGCTACCATCGCCCGTTGCTTCGGGAAGGTCAAAGAGAGAAGACGTGGTTTGTGCTTCTTCCGTTCTGTTTTAAAAACACTTATATAATGCTCATGGATATTATTTTTCTGAATAATTATTTTGGGGGCTTGTATGCCTAATTATGCCAAGTGTGGCCTGAACATTTGTATTAAATGTTTCCGCTGCTTTAAATGAATGTTTTACATTATGTTTGTTTATGGATGTACTATGTGTGAATGGTATTCAAGACGACTTGTATAGTATGGATGAGTTGGACTGCGGTTGACTATTCGTACTGTAGGGCGGGTTGTTGACGTGTCCGGGCAGGTCCGGGGCGTGACACCTAGGGCAGTAGGGCCTAGGGAGTATATACGAGTATTCTAAATATCTTGATGTATTGAACAATTAAAATTGCAATTTCTTATTTGGATTTATTGAAATATTGTACACTTTTATAATTTTTTTGTATGTGATTAAATTTAATGAATTGAACTTATATATATGAACCATAAACTTATTTTTAGTATTATTTGGAACGAAATTTTATGTTTTGTGATGATTGGAAATAAAAAATTATATATTTTGAATTAAACTTATCCCTCAATTACATCTACCCTTGGTCTCATCAACAAGTAGCAGGAAAGGATTTGGTCATGAAATCACTTTCCGCTCTATGGATGGGTATGACGTATGTAAGCATAAATCATCTCTTAATGGCTCTTTGTATTTTTATCAACTTTAGATCGTTTGCTTTCGAAGAATATTCTCATTATGTAAGAATACTACCTTCGTCGTCCACTAACATAAGGACAAGCGGAGGTGACACAATTAGTAAGAAAAGTTGGTTTACATGGTTGATGATGGAGTTATGGGACTAGGCCCAGAGCCTAATCAGACCAAGCCCCGAACTTGGACCCATGGATCCAAGTCCACAACCTAGAGCCTGCCTGCCAGCTCAGCGGGGAGCCTGCCAGTTCGGTCGACCTCCCAGCCCGGAAGAGTAACGGTCAAACAATTAATGCGCTATTAATTATGTATTTAATTCCGTATTAATATTGTAATTAATTAGTCATTATTATCGATAGCGGTTACGAATTGTATACGTCTATAAAAGGCACTTTGTAATTCAAACTAAGGAGACAAATTCTAGATGCTATTTCTGGCTACCAAATCCCCTTTGCAACTTTCCATATTCGTACTTTCCTAATTCTTGCTTGAGTGTCGTACGTAGCTTTCCTAAAACCTACGAGCGTCCTATTTTGGACCAACATTGGTGCTTTCATTGAGAGGCTCTAGTGTCTATCAAATCACTTTAGTAGGAATTGATCATGAAATTTCAGAAAAAAAAGGAATCTGTAATTCGTAGTGATCTGGAATTTGTGGCGACGCTAGATGATGCCGTTGTCACCCACCGTTGTGGCTTGAATCTCCAAGCAACCGGAAACGGAAGCTCTCTCGAATGGGGTCACAACAATGAGCATTCATCTTTCTTCGCAACTCGCTCGTCCAACTCTGCAGGGAACCGCCCGGCCCGCTGATCTCAGACCTCAGCTTGCCCACCTCCGTCAGCGGCGTAGAAACTGAGAAAATAACTAAAGTCGAGAGTGAGGTCCCCAGAGGCCGTCTCACTCTCTGTTGACTGTGGAACTGACTGCATCCAGCCCAGGATTCTCCTAACCAAGCATGGGAGATCGGAAATCGAGTCGTGAAGCTCAATTTCTAAGGCTTCGTCCAGATTTCCGCCATTAATGGCCGCTTGAGGTCAAGGGGAAGCAAATGCGAAGCTCTGGCTGCCTTCTGCGTCGTCGCTATGATGGTCCCCTGCAAACCCGAATCAATGGTCGCTGCCGTTGTGAATCAACCTTGTTCTAGTTGTCGCCGATGAGGAAGATGGGTTCATCTGGAACTCCAGCAGCAGAACCCGTACATCAGCATGAGTAAGGAGGAGGATGAGTAATTGGATGGGACCTAGACAAAATTATTAAATCATTTTGACCAAGTCAAAATTGGAAATAGCCTAAAGCTTCCCAATCTCAACAATCAACCGAGCCTCTTCTTCAAAAAGCTAAGTACTCCACAATTATTTCCATACAATTAATATGTGAACATATTTAAAAAAATTGAAACATTTGAAAAGATATTTTAAGTGATATGATTGCTTTTACTCTTGTTAAGTGTGTGTAAATTTAACATTGAATAACGGACTAATGAAATTTGATCACTCAAGTACGCCGGACGAGCACACACACTCGTACATTGGCCGAGCACACACACTCGCGCCACCGGGTCACGTCATACGGGTGTGACGATTAATAAGCTCCAATATAAATGTTAATACCGCACACTCTTGACTTCATACGAGTTCTTGTGTGCTCTTACCCTTTCCAAGTGCATCGTACTCCGACCTCGGGGGACGAGTCACCCGTTCAAAAGTTTTTACTTGCGGGTTCGAACTACTAACCTCGGGCGACGAGTTAAACTCTTGTTAGGGGCCTAGAGCCACGCTCTTCCGAGCAATTTTGTCACTTAATTGACATTCATATTTCTCGAAAAGGTTGATATACTTTAGTTCTTTGGGGTTGGATTATCCATTCGAGTGAGGAGTCCGACTCACTTACTCGCGGATTCAATCTTTCTTTCAGAGACTGGGTTGAGACCTAACTTGGGAACTTGATGTCATTCTTTTCAAGTAGTGAGTCCGACTCACTTACACACCGAGCCGTGGTTCGACATCAGGCCAGATGCTCTATTCTACACTAGTTTCTTTTATGTGTAGGTACAACTGAATGAAGTGGTGGACTGATGGTCTTACCGTATTCAAGGAATAAAGGATGGGGGATCTCACCTCTTGCTTCATCTTGGGGGCGTCAGATGTACTCTTTTTCCCTTTATTAGGATTTTTTCCCATTGGGTTTTTCCTAATGAAGGTTTTTAATGAGGCATCTCCCCAACATGAACAAGGGCGGGGATCTTCTAGTCTCGAAGAAGAACAACTGACTTGGATTACTCCCTCTTAGCCGAGTTTACTACTCGACTAAGGGAGTGGGGGACTCGTGATGGAGTTATGGGACTAGGCCCAGAGCCTAATCAGCCCAAGCCCCGAACTTGGACCCATGGATCCAAGTCCACAACCTAGAGCCTGCCTGCCAGCTCAGCGGGGAGCCTGCCAGTTCGGTCGACCTCCCAGCCCGGAAGAGTAACGGTCAAACAATTAATGCGCTATTAATTATGTATTTAATTCCGTATTAATATTGTAATTAATTAGTCATTATTATCGATAGCGGTTACGAATTGTATACGTCTATAAAAGGCACTTTGTAATTCAAACTAAGGAGACAAATTCTAGATGCTATTTCTGGCTACCAAATCCCCTTTGCAACTTTCCATATTCGTACTTTCCTAATTCTTGCTTGAGTGTCGTACGTAGCTTTCCTAAAACCTACGAGCGTCCTATTTTGGACCAACAGTTGATATTGAATTGATAAAGTAACAATAATTTAAAACCATACAAATTTTATCTAATTGGGTATGTGACATTCTTATTGGAACGGATCGAAAAGAAAAGACGATACAATCTTAGCGGAACAAAAGGAGTATTTCATATGTAATTTACTTCTATTTATTTGATTTTTTGTATCATCATTGTGTTAAATAAAACATATTTAAAAAAATTTATATATGACCGTCTAGGGCCCCATAATTGCTCTAGCCGGCCCTGTTTCATATGACTTTTTGAGATCATTTAATTATAATCGAGATAACATTAATGAGCCTTGGAATATTACATTAGCTAATCAGATAGATTTATGCTCTGTCGAAGTTTACGTTTGTAAAATACAAGCACTACAAAAATTTTAGTGACGGGGAAATAGCCTTCAAGCAAAAAATATTTAAAATGCAATCCAACTCATTAACCAATGGAAAGAACTCTATGAAGAAGGTTGAAATAGCTTCGTAGAGCATATGATACTTTAGAAATTGGTGATCATGATATTGAGAAGGAAGCCGAACAAAAAGACCTTCAAATCCCATTGTGTATTTAAAATTGTGAAAAATTAAAATCTGAATGTAAAATTAAATTGATAAGAGATGATACATCTTCTTGAACAGAGATGTATGAATCGTATGATGCTTTGGTTGCATGGGAAAATGAATTCAAATCAAGAAAACAAATCAACACAAAAAATAAACACTAAAAAAATTAAAATATGTTGTCGTTGAAGAGTCGAAAAAATGATAACATATACGAAGTAGATGATATTCCTGGAGCGAGTGTCCTTAATTACAAGTAAGTGTAGTGTTCAAAGTTAACACCGTTAGTTGTAGAATTAGACGGTGAGGTCGGTAATTCAAAAGAAAGTTCATGCGAGACACACTATAATAGCACATGGTACTACATTTTAAAGTCTAACAATGACAAACCATGAACATTTAATACAACAAACTAGCCTTTATAAGATAGGTTAAGATTTTGAGTGTATTTTTTTAGAAAGGTTTTTGGAAGATTTTTTTTAAAAGTTAAAGCTAAGTTATTTTGAGTCTATCCGTGAGGATAAGAATATCTGAACAAGGTATGATTATAAAGTACTCCCTCCTGTTCTAAATAAAGTTCATTGTTACACTGTTGTAACAATGTTTAGCACTGTTTTGCATTGTTTTACACTGTTTTTATGTAGATATTTTGTCAAATAAAGAAGAGAGAAGATCTGCCAACTTTAATTTGGACATCCTTTAAAACATTAATTTATTTAGAACTAAGCTAAGTATCCGAGCTTCACAGCGTAAACCCTAATATTTTACTCGCCAGACGCACGCTCTCTCTTACCGGTGGTTGTTCTCAAACCTTCTTCGATTCTCTGCATCTATATCTACGAGACTACGAGGTGATGATTCCTTTCAATCTATATCTCAGTGTATGACCTTCTCCTTTCTCTAATCTGTTATCCTCTATCTAATTTCGACGTCTTCTATTATTCTTGATAAGATTATGCTACGAGCAGAGGTGATGATTGTTATTGTTATCTTATTTTGTTCCGGAGAGCATTTGGCCTCTTAATATTTTTTTACAATAAAATTTCCATTCGTTACCCTTGTCTGTGTCTAAAGTTTTTGCTTTGATATTTTCTCAGATTATTAGCTTGGACTTTTTTAGTCCGGTGTCTATATCTATTTGAAGAAATTAGTTCCATTAAATCTGTTTTCAAGTCTTTTTTTTTTGTTTTTAATAATGAATATAACTTTATTAACATTATGTCACAAAATACAAATGCAAATGAAAAGATGGTGTGAGTGGGTTTGATTGGAAAGAGTTTCCATTCAGCATGTTTTGTTGCTTAGAATTAATAAGTTGTGCATAGTAGTCTCATTGGATGGCGCATCTAAGCAGAATTTGAGTTGTGGGTATTATTGGGGTTGCTTGATTGTGATGGTCTCGTTTTGCACATGGCATGCTATAAGTATGAAGTTGAATGTAGAATCTTTTATCAGTTGTTTTTCATTAGAATGAAATGGCTTGGGGTTTTCATGCTTTATTTGTTTCTTTTTAACTGCAAGTATGCAGATGTTTAATTATCAAAGCTTGTGATGTAATAGTGAATGTGCTTCCTTGATAGAGACCTCAACCAAAACGGTATAGTTGGCGTGTATATTAGAGAAAGAAGATAACGAAAGCCGAAAGGAAAGAAATACAGGCGAGACACTTCGAGCAGTCCCCTCTCCCAGGTCTAATTCCGATTTCTGCCTACCTTCTATTTATACCCTTACTTATGGGCCAGCCCAAAGTTAACTAGTACCTGGCCCAGGAGCTGTAATATACTATCACAATTATTTAATATTATTATAATATTCTTATTATTATTTTCTTCAGCCTAGAATCCTATCATATCTCCCCCATTGAAAAACCACCTTGTCATCTTCATCTTCATCTTCATCCGGTTCATGTGGGTGATAGGAAACAACGTTGACCCTCCGGTTCATCTTCATCCTTGCGCCTCTACCTTCCCAGTATCTCATTGATTTCTGAGCGGGCAGCTTCAGCACTTGATCTTTCCACTTGACATATGTTTTTGCAGCATAGGATCTATCTGGTGAAGTTTCATTTTCTTCATTAACCTTCAAGCCTTCAATAGCCACAAAATTTTCCTTGCTTTCTTGAGGCTCCTCCGAGGTTCTCTCTTGTGAAACTATCAGTGTGCTGGGTGCAAGTTTGATGTAGCTCAACTCAAGGTCTGCAAACAACCCCATGCAAACTTCTCCAATTACCATCCACTTTTCTGTATGGCAGTTTTGGTCACTGTCCAAGTGTGTTTCCAACACATAAACCCCATAACGGACTCTTTCCCACAATTCATTGGCATAGGCCCCCTTATACCCTTGAGCCTCCAAACTAAGATGCCTTTACATCTTAGAAACCGAGCTCTCACTTCCACTGTAGTTCCCCATGAGTCACTGATACATGGGACACCAGGACCCCATACACATGAATCATAGTTTTATATGGAAGAGGTCCGAACCTTGCTTCATATGTTTTATATAGAGTCCCATATAAGATTGTCTTCCCCTGTTGTGCTTTGACTGGAGTTGTCTCTGGCTTGTCCAGTTGGAACCCTTTGAGTATTGGAATACTCATTGGGATTGGTTGCTCATGCCAATGTATGCTGAAATTTGAGGTGAAACCAACAATTTAAAAATGTCAACAAGTTTATGCATCTGCTGATCAAGCACAACCACATGTTTTCCTCTCCACTGTGTCAACCTTAATAGTATTTCTGGAGTACAGCTTAATTCATGGAATCATAAAGGTGAGACTCCCAGGAGCTATCAAAAGTGCCAGTGAAGTATAAAATCCCAGCATTTTCTTTTATGTGCCTATCACTTGCTCATTTAACTGACCTAGCAATTGTAAGATTGCACCATGAACAGGACCCCGATCGCTAAAGCTTGGGGCATCACAAAAAACCTTTCCTAAAGTCCAGACAGCCTGCTCATGAACCTCATCAATGGGAGCGCTGCGTTCAATTGTCAACAGCTTTCTTAATTGTGTCGTTGCTTGATAATCATATTGTTGGGGTTTAGAATAAAGTGTAGTGTCCAATTTAGAGCTGTTCACATCTTCTTCACCATCTGAATAGACTCTCTCTAAAACCCGTAGATCAGCAAAGAATATAGTAGGTTTCTGCTCCCCAATGTCTTCAATTAATAGCTTGATATCCCCATGCCAAAATCCTATTGATGCCCCATGGCTGATGAAACATACTTCAATCAATCGATCAAAAATATGAGCCAGAGGGAGATAGAAACTGTATCCATCATTCAATGAAAGCAATTCATTCATACTCTCTAGTAAACCCTTTACCCCATCCATAATAGTAACGATATTATTATTTGAAATCCAAGCACCTTTAGGGTCTCTAGTAGTCCCACCGGTATGCATTCTTGTTCAACTGTCTATTTTCTTCTTTGCTGGAAGATCGAAGTTCTTATCCTCTCCACTTTTCCATTTGAGTCCCAAATCATTACAGATTCTCGGCAGCATGTGAATGATGGAATTATTGGTAACAGCAAGGTTTGTCTTATAAAACTTCAACAGCCAACATAATTTTTTCACAACAGTGCTGCCATCCGATGTCAGGTTCTTTAACAGCCAAGGCACCGAGTTTAGGAAGTTTCCTTCTCCTATTTCCTTTATAATAGAGCCAATAGCTCTTGTAGCAACATAAGAAACCTCCAAAGTAGGATATTGAGGAACTTCAGGTGCAAATATACCTTCAAACAGCCCTCTACTTGTGTCAGGATCGCCATATGTATTTACCTCAAATACACAGTAGTGCAAACTACCTGCCTACGGAATATATACCTCCTTGATTCGCTCGCTCGTGTACCTCAACAGCTTTATCCATCAAACCCATCTGTGCCTCGTGATCTACATATTTCTTCCAGTAAACCAAAAATGGATACTTATTCATAACGTTCCTCTCTGCTACTTTCTCAGTTTCCTCTACAGCTTCAGCAACTATCTCTTCAAGCAAAGTGAGCTGGCATCAGCCTCAACATTTTCTGCCCTTTCCGATTTATCTGGTGGACGTCCCGTGGGTTGAATATCATCGTCGTGCATCTCCCTAAACGTGGGTATGTATGATTCCCCTTTTAATATGGAAGACAAGTGTTGATACATTAAAGGATTGAGCTCAGTTGGAGAGACAAAAACAGCAGGCCCATCAGTCATCACAGCAAGATCTGAATTCCACTCCAGTGCTTGAATCCTCCTCTCTGGGACTTTTACCTGATCTATCAGTTGCCTATGATTGACAGTAACTTCATTTTTGCCAGGGTCACCCATAACACCCACTGACAGCAGCTTGGTCTCCAGAGAAGAATTATAAACTTCATTAGCGTAATTTTGCCTTAGATTGGTGACCCTCAGAACATCCTCAGCATTGTCAGGCACTAACTGAACTCTCTCTTTTATATTTTCCCTGGGGCGCGAAGAATTAATACCTTCTGATGGAGTTTGAAGCTGAATAAAAATCTCTTGATGGAACAATTGAGCTTCCTCACAGTGAGAGGCGGTTGGCGCCAGAACTTGTGGACTGCTAGAATTGGCCTCTGAAACTTGCGAACGAGAATATACCGCTTGCGAAGAAACTGGAGTAGTGGGAGAAGAGGTTTTCCACTGAGATGAAACCTACAGACTCAACGAATCTGGAAGTGACGAAGCTGGTGCACTGGACGAAGTTGGTGCACTGGACGAAGTTGGTGCGCTGGATGAAGCTGTTTGCGATGGTGAACTGTGAGGAATGACGATCGACGTTGATGAATCTGTGCTTCCAGAGTTCCTACAACGCTTCACGGTTCTGGAACGTCCTCTAGGTCACCGGCGATTTTGGTCCTTCAGTTGGTTACATAGGTCGATCAAACTCGTTTGGGCCTCACCATCCTCTTGACTATCCGCGATCGAGTCTCAGCAATAGTCAGTTCCAATTTCACGAATCGTTGCTCCATTTAATGATCCGATTCAGTCTGTGTCTCCAGGAGCCTGAGTTCTCTGATACCAATGATAGAGACCTCAACCAAAACGGTAAAATTGGCGTGTATATTAGAGAAAGAAGATAACGGAAGGAAAAAAATACAGGCGAGACACTTAGAGCAGCCCCCTCTCCCAAGTCTAATTCCATTTTCTGCCTACCTTCTTACTCCCTCCCTTCTATTTATACCCTTACTTATGGGCCAGCCCAAAGTTAACTAGTACCTGGCCCAGGACCTGTAATATACTATCACAATTATTTAATATTATTATAATATTCTTATCATTCCTTTTATTTATGATGACACTTCTATTTATTTATGGTGCATTTAGAACTTTATTTTGAACAACAGCATTTTGGTTGCCTTTCTCTTCTTTTATTTTTCCCTCCCGGAAATAACAGAACACATATAACAGGGCAGTGAATACAGAGATCAACGCTCGTGACCAATATAGAATAGGCTTTGGTTCCTTGGGATCTTTCTTACTTTTTAGCTGGCACACTGATTTGCTGATTTGCCGCTGGTGAGTCTTCCATGGATTTTCCATTTGGTTTTGAAAGTTGAGTTCTTATGGTCAGCCATTGTTGTGAAAATCGGTCAAGGCTACGCCCTGAGGTGAGCCTCATGAAAAAAGCCTCAAGGTTTAAACCTTTCCGAGAAGATATGAGGCTTATGCCCTGAATGTGTGACTAGTACGTCGCAAAGCATATGCCCTGATGCTCACTTAGACTTTTTCCTCATGAAAACTAGTCATGTTGACATAGTTAAATTTATGGGTTGGTTTTTTATATTGATTTCACACTCTTACTAGTTGTCCCACCCATGCGTTGCACGGGAATACATTCTGTGGAACACCCACACACCCATTAAAGCATCTATATTTTTTCCTTTAAAAGCACTGATAAGTTCAAGAATGTAAAGAAATAACTAAGATGCAACAGCTCCCGCCCACCACACAAAAACATAAGAAAAAGTGCATTTCCCGTTTCATGCTTTTCTCATTCAAGTTTCATAGAGATCATCTACCTATCATCACAGCCCTTTTGGGGTAATTACTACTCACAAAGTCACAAACAATTATCCTTGGTTATATTTTTTAGTTTGTTTCTTATATTTCGTCAAATTCTAGACTTTGATATATTCTCTTGTCTTTCTGTTTCAAAAGTTCAGGAAAGAAAGTTAATGGATATATTATTTTCAGTGAAACTTTTTATAAATAGGAATAGTAGTTCATGTTTTCATACATGTTGTCATGTTTGTTTAGTAGGGAGGGATTTGATGAGTAAATGGCATAAATGAGACACGTCATTTATACCAAGGGGGGTATGAACAGATAATGCCCAAACATGTCTCAACTCTCAAGAAGACATAAAGAAGCCCCCCTTCTTTGTCTCTCCCCCACAGAGACCTTTAAACTTCATAGTTATGCTTTAAGACTTGAAAACCATTAATTGGATTCATCCAAGTGTTTTTTAGTTTAAATTATGATATGATTTCCTATCTATATTGCATTTGTTGTATTTCTGTGACACTTTCTTAAATTTGTCATGGAATTGAGGCTTATGCCTCTCAAGTCTTACGCCTTACCTCTCCCTCGCCATGGAAAACCACCTCAGGTACCCCCTCGATTTTCAAAACAATGGGGTCAGCGCTAAATATCTTTCTCAACTAAATTAGAGGTGTGCTGATTGATGCAAATTAATTTTTTCTTTTTAGTTTAAAAAACACAACATCCAGACCTTTGAATTTTAATTTCATTTCTCTATTGAAATTGTGAATCTGCTTGGCAGTCATGGCAGGAATGCATCCACACCAAGAATATACCACCAGCACTGCATATCTCTTCTTGTCGTACAGTAACAATGTACGTCATGAACTCATGATGAAGGTTACTCTCTGCATGCCATTGATATTTGTGTCTGATGAACAAGGTTTGGTGGTTGAATCTCCACGCTTACTTGTGCGACTTCCTCTCCAAAATCGACCGGGCATGGTATGTGCTAAATTAGGCTCCAAGTTTTACTTCCTCGGAGGTGAGAAACGTGACGTTCTGGTAGGTGACAACCGGATCTTGGTCGGTGACAAGAATGTTGAATCTAACTTGGTAAATTTTTTTCTTTCCTTTGCCACGGCAAAATATTTTCCTCCTTTCTTTATGGTTATAGAATGGAAAAGGATATTTATTTATCTAGTTTTAAAAGTTGTTTGTAATACATATTTGTTTGTACATATAAATTTTAGGTTTGGGTTAACTGGGAATTGTTTAGCCTGATGAGGAATATATTATTAATTTGCTTTCTTTACTGTTTAGATTTACATCATTTCTTGTCATTGCAGGAATATGAGAACAAGGTTGATGACAAGAAAATTGGAACTAATCTGTAAGATTTGTTGTTTACCCTCTCACATGGCATATGGTCATTTTTTTTTCTCTCCCCTTTACAAGAGTGGAAAAAGAAGATGCTTATATTAATATTGTTTAAGTTTAGATTTAAAATTAATCTGAAGTCTTGTTGAAACATACGTAGCCTTTATGTGACCTCTCCAAGCCTTGCTAATGGTATACCGTATGGTTTAAACACACTTATTATTGATCGATTGATATATTCGTTTTTCTTTCACTCGCCTTTTTTCAGGTGCTGAATCAACAAGTTGGGTAAACAAAGGATTTCCAAGCAAGGAATGTTATGATATTTTGGAGTTATTATCTTGCTATGTAATATTAAATCATAGATTTAAATTACGATATTTGTTTTATTGTATAATTTAAACATTTAATGGATCTTAAAAACGTTTTTAATTACAATGTTTCTCTATTCTACTATAGAAATAATTTAAAAACATTATAATTTTTTTTTTGTGTGAAATGGATTCATACGAGTAATGGACTAATGGTGTGAAATCTGTTTCACATAAATTAGACTTTTTTTATGGTCACATAAAGTAGACTTAATAATGAAATTTTACTTATTTACAAACTATCTAAATAGTTTTATTACGACACCAAAAATTGAAAATATATGATACAAGAATGACGAAGGAGGGTGATGTGGACATGTGACTAGGGATGGACCTGGTCCGCTCCGGTTCTGGTCCGGGCCGGGCCCGGGCGGGTTCTTTTCTTGGAAACTTGGGCCCGGAACTGGTTCGGGTTGATACCGTTAGGACGTTGCCTGCCGTACTAAACTCTTGTTCCACAGCAACTGTTGATACCTGCATTGCTATCACTTGCTTAGTCATCTTTGATAAGATCGGGAACGTTCTCTTTTTTTCCTTCCACCATTGAAGAACGTCAAAGTCATCACCTTCTTCATACTCAACAGCAAATGTTAGATACAAAGAAAACTTGTTGATCGAGTTTTGTTCATTAACCGGAGTTGATTTACTTTTTTTCATAAGATTGCCAAATGCAGATTTAAAAATTGATTTCCCTTTAGGTGAAGAAGATGTTCGTGGTGGGGGAGGGGGTGCGTTACCATATTGTATATGAAACTCATTAAATAATTGATATAATAAATTACTAATCTCATGGAATTGTTGTTTAGGGTATAATAGACCCGGCAAAGCGTTGAATCCCCAACTCCAAAGGCCTCTCCACCCCGACCCGATAGGATGGTGGGGGAGTAAATCACAAGGACTCAGTCGGCAAAGCGGCAGTAGGTCTTTACCCGTGCGCACCAGAGGGCCAACCTTATTTCAGGTTCTGAAAACCCCCTTTTGGCCGCTGCGGGATTCGAAACTTGCTCTACGTCCAATTTTTCCCACCGCTCGACTAACTGAGCTACCCGTGCGGGTACATAATAGTAATCTAAACATTGCTCCAAAGAAGCAAGTTTAAAACGAGGATCGAGAATAAATGCAATACTATATATATGCGGAATATATGAATAATATTTTAAAAATTTGTGTTTCATGAAGTCACAAAAATAACTAACGTAAGCGATATCAGAAAATTCGCTAAAAGCGTCGGCGAGATTAACAGCTTCAACAAAAAATTGGTTTGCGGTAGGTTTATAAACATGACTAAAAGTTTGAGTTGCATTATTAAAATACACCAAAACATTCACCATTTTTTCACAAGTGTCTATGTCGGCCGGGTTTATAATATAGTTAGCATATTCTTTTAAAAAATAGGAAAATGGTTTTTAAATCTAATAAGCACCTTAATTAAGTTATAAGTACTATTCCAACGAATAGACAAATCTTTAGGAAAAGCACAATATTTGACACGTCTTTCTTTCAAAAAATATCTCCATTGCATCTTAAGTTGATTACTAGCCCAAATAAGTTTAATCCCCCCCCCCCTTCACCACCTCCAAAGCATCTCCCAACGCCGCTAGCCCATCCTTTACACATAAATTTAAAATATGACATACACAACGCTGATGAAAAAACCTACCCATCAAAGAAGATGAATCACACAATTCACGCAATCTAGGAATAGCAGCAGTATTATTAGTAGCATTATCAAACCCAATAGCAAACACCTTATTAATCAAATTATACTCAATTAACATACGCTCAATGAGAATATAAATATTATCACCGGTGTGTCGATCATTAAATTCACGAAAAGCAAGAACACATTTATGCATACACCAATCATCATCAATATAATGTGCAGTCACACCCAAATAATATAAATGATGATGAGTATCCTCCCATATATCACTACATATACTAACACGTCCATCAAAGTTTGCGAAAAACATTTGTAAATTTTGCTTTTCGAAAACATATTGCCTTATAACTTCTTTTTTAATTGTTTTGCGACTAAAGTTTCGAAATTGAGGATTTAAAGTACCTTGAGCATATTCTTTTAAAGCAAGACTTTTGAAAAAAATAAATGGCAAATTTTCTTCAATAATTAAATGAGACATACCGGTCAAATGTTTTTTATCATCATAAGAAAAATTACCGAAGGGTTGGCCAGTTGCACACCTTGAAATTTGTGTTTGCTTTCCCTTGCATTTGTCCGATTTCGCATATTCCGCCGGGTGCTTGGCCTTAAGATGCCTTGTGGCGCTCCTGTACCCTCCAGAAATTCCCAAGTTATACTTTTTTTGCAATGCTTGCAAGTGGCGTATCATATCTTGGTTTCAAGGTCTTTAACTTTTGTAAAATTAGCCTTAAAGACAAATTCAGCTTTCTCACCGCCTTGGGAAGAAGTAGCCACTTCCGCTTGCTCTTCCTCATCGTCCGGTGCCCGAACTGCCCTACTTGATCGGGCCGGTTCAAAGCCCGGACCGCCCAACACATACCCGGGTCGGGCCGGGCCCACACAGTGGCGGGCCGGGCCAGTTCGGTCCATCCTTACGTGTGACAGTCAATTGTATCATTTAGTCACATCACATGACATAAATTTCAGCATGAATATTGTTATATCTCGGTCGTCGCTCTGAAGCAATGATATTACTTTGTCACATGACATGAATTGCAATATGAATATCGATATAGCTAGTCGTTGCTTGGAAGCAATCCTTCATCCCTCTGCTTGGGGATAATGTCATATGCAAGGGCATGTTTGAGGTCGATGTGGTGTGAAGAAGAGAAGATAAAGTGCTAGATTACGTTTTGGGATGTTGAATGTTGGCTCTCTTACTAGAAGATCATCTGAGGCAGTTAGAGGCTATGGATGGACCGGGCCCGGGCTGGGCCGGGTCGGGTTTGCACAGTATTGGGCTGGGTCCCGGTTCGGGCCGACCCGTCCCAGTTCATGGTTAGTCGAGGCTATGAAGAGAAGGAATTTCAGCATAATGTGCGTGCAAGAAATTAAGTGTGTAGGAGAAAAAATATATGAGCCTAATCCCAATGGTTTTAAGGTGTGGTATTTGGGGAAAGAGGAATATAAATGGAGTGGGCATATTGTGGCACGTGATTAGGGATGGCCCGGTACTGTTATGGCCCGGCCCGGCCCGGTACCCGGGTCATTGGCCGGTTTGGGCCAACTGGCCCGACACTGTAGAGGGGCGGTTCGCGGGCCTCCATAATGGTGAACCGGCCCAGCCGGTTCGGTTCTGGTCCAGGCCAATTTTTTTTTTTTTTTTGGTTTTTCAAATTCTTAAAGGCCTTTTTTATGAATATTACTAATTTATATACAATTGACAAAAATGTGACTTGTTTTTAAGTTTTCCAAAACTATGACTTACCATATCATTTAGTCCTCATTTAATACTACATTTATTATTTTGACATTTCATTTTAATAATAATTAATAAATGCCTCCAACCACCCTAATGAGTGCTGCCACCACCATCGCCGGCATCGCCGTTGCTGCCGCCGCAGTGACTTCGTTGTCAAACCTTCTCTAGTGACTTCGTTTTTCAGTGACTTCGTGGTCTACTTCTCTAGTGACTCAAATTTTTTGTGTAATATGGCAACTGTCATATAGTGACTCTGCTGCTTCCACTGTCACCCCCACCACACTCCAGTGACCACATTTCAGTTACTACGGTCGTCGCCAACCATCCGTGACAAATGCCCCATGCATTTATCACCACCGACCGAACCTACGCCCTCTCTAGCTCGACCCCTTCTTGCCCCATCCCAACCCCAGATCCCCTGCCCCCTAACAAACCCATGTTGTCTATCAGTTGCCATAGGAGCGACGCTTGAACAGAAAAGGAAGGAGAAGCTAGAGGTAAGCAGTGGGCTGGTGGCGTGTCAAGGAGGCGGCTCCTTGACGCCGTTCTACAATCCTAGCCGCGCACATCATCATTCACCAATGGTGTTAATCGCTGATAGAAAAAGAGAAGTTGAAGAAGAAAAGAGCGGCGATGGTGGTCGATGGTTGAGAAATTAAATGGTGCCGGCCAATTCAAGGGGTGAGAGACGAACTACCGGCGGACGGCTGAGAATTGAGCCGGTGGCTGGAAGCTGCAGTGGCGGCAAATCTATGGTGGGAGGAGAAGAAGGCTTGAAACGAGAGGTGTCTAACATGATTTTAGGGTTAGACGTAGTATTTGGTTCATTTTTATTTTAGGCCACTCATTTAATTTGGGTCACTTTTTTGAAATGATAAATGTTGTCATATTTTGGGAAATCAAAACACCCATAGTAATTTTTCTGCCATTCTTTCATTCTTAACCAGGTAAAATGGGTTGGGCTGGGTGTTTTAGAGGGGTTTAGGGTGTGGGGAAGAAGGAATTAGAAAAAAAATTACTCGGTTCGAACCGGCCTGACCCGGTCTATACCCGACCCGCTACCCGGCCAGGTAACCCGGCCCAAACCAGACCCGGTAGGTACCCGAGCCAGTTTCGGGCCTCACTTCTCCAAAAAAAGCCCGGTCGGAAGCAGACCGAGGCCTGACCCAGCCCGAACCGAGTCCATGCCTACACGTGATCGTGTTGAGGGTGTGGTAGAAGTCTTTAAGAAGAACGATCACATCATGAATATGAAACTGGTAATAGGAGATGAGACCATGTTTGTGGTAATTGCCTACGTACCACAAGTGAGATCATGCATCTATCACTCAATAATTTTGGGAAGAGTGGTGATAAGTACATATTACAACACGCATTTGATGCGTGTTGGGGTTGCATTTTGATAGTTTTCCTAGCTTTAAGGTGTTGGGGTTCGAGTTTTGTGTCATTTGGAGTCAAAATCAGGATTTTAGACACCAACACCGGCGCTTGAGAAGCAATCGGGACGAGTTGAGAAACATTAGAGATTGATTTGAGAGCTTTGGAGGTCACCGGGAGGTTTACGATGAAGAGTTGAAGACAAAAGAGCTCTAGGATTGGCTACGGGATCAAAAGAAGACAAATAGAGCTTGAAAATGATGATCAGGATGACCTTCTGTTAATCATTCAA